TTTTCCTTTTGCATTTTTATTTAAATGCACAGGGAGATGATGATCCCAATAGAAGTATTGATAAAATAATCCAGTAGATGTAATACGAATGCCTTTGAAGTTGTGAACCTTCTTTACGTATCTTTCTTCTTTACACAATTTTGGAGTTTTTTTCCCCTTTGTTTTGCTTTATTTGGTTGTGTAGTTTTAGCACTGTTACTAAACTTAAAACTGGTTTTCTTTTTAGTTCTGTATTTTATTAAATGTCCCAGGAGAAAAACAGACCCTATCCTTTCCTGGAAGTTCTTATACTCTGTGGCCCTGATTCTGGAAGTGCTCAAGTTGTATGTAAATTTACCTGTGTGAGTAGTTGCATAGAATTTGTTGGGACTACTCATGTGAATAAAGTTACGCACATATAAGTGTTGGATTAAGTCCCATGGAGCATATCCAAAACAAGTGTCAATGCTTGATTGATGTCCAGCCAAATGACAAAATTCAATCAGCAAACTATATATAAACTTCTGCTACTCATAGGTTTTCCCTTGTGATTTACAGTCTTAGTTCCTATTAAATTTGCAAATGAATTGAGCTGAAAATTATTGTTTTCACCAACATGAGTTAATCCCTGAATTTCACTGTGTTTTTAATGTAACCAGGAGATCCTCGTTATTTTAAAATGTTTCTTTCCCTTGTTGCTACATCAAATATCCATCCAAAAGGAGTTATACATTGGAAATAGTGAAACTAGTATACAAAATGAGGTCAAGTATACAATGCATATACGTTGAAATACATGGAGATATTTAAATAGTTTTATATGTGAAAGAAATTAGTAGCCTTAGGTGTTTCTTAATAGTAGGCATAACATTTTCAGGTGAAAACTTTACATTGTTGGTGTTGATCTTCAAACCCCAATCACTTTAGCATAGATTGATATGGCTGTTGCCAGTGCAACAGGAGATAGTAAACTTTATGTATTTGGGCTCCTAAATCAGCTGTTGTCTGCTGTCTGGAAAAGAATTACAGGAGACTACTTTATAACCTCATTTATGTGTGCCATCATGTAAGATTCAATGCGGTCTGATCTGTACATGAAGCACAGGACTACAGCAGCTGACCTCAGCATTGACAGAGGTGTATGGTTAAACTCGCATAGCATCAACTTGAGATGTTTTCTGTTCCAGTCTGACTCTGCATATGGTAAAGTCTGTGGGGATTTTCCCATTACCCTTATTAGTGGGAGAAGGATTTGGCTTTTGGCCTGTGAGCACTTAGGACCAAATTCTGTCACCTTTCACCAGTTGACTAGGGACTTCATTCTCTTGGGTTGTACTAGTGAAAAAAATAGGAGTACTTGTAGAATAAGGTACTACAATGGGTGCATCTATACAAGATGCTTACTGCAGAGTAGACTGATCCCAAATTATGGGGTAAAGTTAACACGCTAGAGGGTAGGGAACAAATCCAGGCAGATCTGGACAGGTTGGAAAAGTGGGCAGATCAGAATAGGATGCAGTTCAACGAAGACAAGTGCAAAGGGAGAAGGAATCACCAGCACACTTACAGGCTGGGGGAGGACCTCAGCAGCACAGCAGTGGAAAGGGATCTCAGAGTCATAGTTGACTCCAAGATGAACAGGAGTCGTCAGTGTGACAAAGCAATCAGTAAAGCTAACCGCACATCATCATGCATCAGCAGGTGCATGAAGAACTGGTCCAGGGAGGTGATACTTCCCCTCTGTGCGGCATTGGTCAGGCTGCAGTTGGAGTACTGCATCCAGTTTTGGGCCCCATACTTCAAGAGGGATTCGGACAGCCTCGAGAGGATTCAGAGGAGGGCCACTCATGGTTAGGGGCCTGCAGGCAGAGCCCTGTGAGGAGAGAGTGAGGGACCTGGATCTCTTCAGCCTTCGCAGGAGAAGGCTGAGAGGTGATCTTGTGGCTGCCTACAAATTCATCGCAGGGAGCGGGGAGAGGGGCAGCAAGGAGTAGGAGATGCTGTGTTTACCAGGGCACCCCTTGGAGTAACTAGGAACAACAGCCACAAGCTGACGGAGATCAGATTTAAGTTAGACATAGAGCAGATTTAAGTTAGACATTGGGAAGAACTTCTTTATAGTAAGGGTTGCCAGAATCTGGAATGGGCTTCCAAGGGAGACGGTGCTCTCCCCTACCCTGGAGGTCTTTAAGGGGAGGCTAGACATGCACCTGGCTGGGGTCATCTGACCCCAATGCTCTTTCTTGCCGTGGGCAGGGTTTGGACTTGATGATTTACTGAGGTCCCTTCCGACCCAAACATCTATGAATCTATAATTAGCCATGCAGTAAAAGTTGCATGTCTACACCTGCATTTCATTAGGCTGAAGTAAACTAATTTACTCTACAGCAGGAAAAGACTCTGCAGCAGCTTGCATGTAGATGCTGCCCTAGCTGGCTGGGGCAAGATGGTGCTTCAGTGTGGGGGGCTGTGTGGCCCAGCCAGCCCCCTCTGCAGCATGTTGTTGCAGGGGGAACATCCTTGGGCTGACAGACTAATCCTGGGGGCCCTCAGTAGGTACATATACATGTGCAATTAGCATGACAGTAAAATCTGGCGCAGTTTGCATCAGAGGAAACTGCTCCTGAGCCTAGGGTCTGCACGTGTGCCTGGGACAGCAGCACTGAGCTGGGGCAGAGCAGCTCCAGACTGGCAGGGGATAGACACGGACGTGCTCAGCCCCAGGTTCTGGGTGGCAGTGTTGAGTGGTGGAGGAGCTGGTTGAGGAGTGAGGGTGCTACAGTGCAGGGATAGGTGGCAGGCAGCCCCCACACATTAGCACCCTCATGCCTCAGCCAGCTCCTGTCACCATCTACACATGTATTGTGCACTTAATAACTCCACCATAAAATAGTACTGTCCCTGACAATATTATCTTAGGCAGAGTTAACTTACTGTGCCCTTATACTAGCACACATGTAGACAGTGACGCTTAACTGCAGAGCTAATTAGTTAACTCCACAGTAAAGTGTACGTGTAGATGTGCTCAGTGAGACTGAGGGTGGCTGCATCTGCTCAAAAGTTCAGGGGAAAAGTACTTGTGACATGTAAAAATATCCCTAAAGGGAAAGAAAAACCAGCCTGAATGGCAGGGAGGCTAATATTGACTATGTCTATAGTGGTCAGGTATTTGGATGATAAAAAGTCATCATGCTGATGGCATTTTAAACTACAATGTGATAAATAGTAAATCTGATCTGAAAAATATAACATAGGTTGCCAACTTTTCTAGACATACTTAAGAAACATGGCACATCTCCATAAAGAATAGAGCTTTTACTGATTTATGGATGAATGGGCTGAGAGTGGATGATATGATTATTTCATTTTTGTAAAATTTATCATCTTGTCTATTATTACTACCTGTTTTCCTCTTTGTGAATTTCCCATTGTCTCCTCCTCTGTCTTGACTTTTTTTTTTCAGTTCTTCCCGCTATGTTTGGATTTTACCCTCTGTGTTCCCATGTGGCCCAATCTGACTGTCCTCAAAGTTAATGGGAAGATTCCTGTTGGTTGCAATATATTCTAAATCAGACACTATGCAAACTTTCTCTTCTTTCAAATACATGATATTACTCAGACCTTCAGTTTTGTTCTTACTCTTGTGTGTGATTTTTAGTTATGTTGCATTGTATTTGGCTAATTCAGCTTTTCAGGTCTGGGGAGTTTTGTCTTCTAACACGTCTGTAAGGTACCAATGTTATATATACCGTGGTGTTACTTTAACCTTAGGTAATACAATAATGACGCAGAATTATTCTTCTATTGACAGTTGGCCTAAGGGTCAATTATAATGGTATTTTATTCAATCTTTTTTTGCATTTTCTATTCCAACTTCCCCTACGATTCAAGATCATCAGTAGGCAAGCGGGAGGGGGCCACAGCATGGTTGGATGGGTCATGCTAATAGCAAAAATAACCTAGCAGTGCGATTCAGTTTGGCTGAAGTCAGTGATGCAATCTGTGTCTCTGCTCCCCATAGTTCACCATGACCATACATCAGGGAAATAAGGGGATGGGTCTGGAATGAATTTTCTTACATGAAGGGATAAAAGAAAAGATTCATGGTCAAATTTACCTTGGGGCAGAGAAACTTTGTGAAACTTCTGTCATGTGGTCGACAGAATGAAAGTAGGCTGATGTATTTTCTAATTATATAATGTAAAACCACTCCTGGTTTGTTTACTGGCCATTAAACAGAATCTTCACATTAGCTCAGCTCATAGATTCACAGATTCACAGAAATTCAGTGCTGGAAGGGACCTCCTAAAATCATCAGGTCCAGCCCCCCATGCTCTGGGCAGGAAAGACTACTGGGGTCAAATAACCCCAGCAAGGTTTGCATCCAGTCTCCTTTCAAAGATCCTCCAGGGTAGGTTCCTGTTGGGAGTCTGTTTCAGAGTCTGGTCACACAAACCATGAAGAAGTTTTTCTTTTTAAGTATATGTATATTCTTAAAAGCCAGCAAGACTGTTTCAAGAAATACAAGGCTTTCGGGCCCTAATTTTTCAAGTTACACGTGACCTGTGAGGTGTTGTACACATTCATATCCTAGTAAGGACACTTGACTTTATTTTATCCCTTTAAATTTTTTTAAAATCCCATGTAAACTTAAACATAATGTAGCGATCTTCCCTGAAATGAGAAGAATTTTCTAAGCATGTGTTACAGAATGTATGATAGAGAACACAGGGAAATTCCTGTGCAGTGTGCTGTATTGCAGACATCATTTTAGGGCTGATCTGCAATGCAGTGTACTTTGCAGCAGAGTGAGAACTTTCTTGCAACCCACACTGCTCAGGGTATGTACAAATACAAAAAGAAAAGGCAGGGTTGAGGGAAACTTTCATAATACATTGATCACAGAGCAGATGCTGGACACATGATAATGGGATTAAGATGCTTGGTAAAAGGTTACTAAGCAAGGTATTTAAATACAAAATCTTTTTAGACAGTAGAGGTTGGGACTAGATGTAGGAGCAATGGACTTAAAAGAACAGGAAAGCAAAAAAGTAACATCAGTGATCAAATAAATTAGGCAACAGATATTTTTAAAACCAGGGAAAGCAGAGGTCTGGCAGCATAGAATAATGTTTCTAAAAAAGATGCTTTTTAGGACTCCCCCTTAGTAACAGCTGTTAGGGAAATTTGCATTTGAAACTCTAAACAAATAAAAATCTCCTCCTCATTCTGAAGAGGAGGTTCAAGCTGTAGTCACAATGTTCTGAAGTAAATGCCATTTGATTATGAAAACATGGTGCGTCATGCAGTACTCTTCTAAAATAAGTGCATCGTTGCCAGATAGGGCATGTAGGCTATATAGTCTCTGTTTTAGAGCAATAGTGAATGCTATAATGTCCCTGTTGCATTCACTATTAGAGGGTAGATATAACTTCTGTTTTGTTTTTAAGGAAAGAAGGATTGTCCAAGTGTGGAAGATGTAAACAGACGTTTTACTGCAATGTGGAATGTCAGGTACGTGTTATGATACCTCGTGAGGATGGTGGGGATGCAGTTCACTAAAGCAGTAAACTGCACTTTTCATTAGTACTTACAGGCTATAATTAAGACAACTGCAGTTGGGAACAGCAGACAGGTCACTTTGATCACCCACAGATGTTGAGAGTAAAGTTGTGCCTTGGACAACTACAGGATTTAATCATAATAAATTGTTAAAAATTAATTGTGCTGAGCCATGTTTCTGTTTGATTAGGGCCACCTGATCCAACTTAGTTCACCCACGTGCGGATCTAAAGTCAACCTAACTAGGGATCTAAGTGTAAGTGCAAACTGTACAGAAGCTCCAGGAAGGTTATATCAGTTAAAAAAATAATGGATGACATGATTTAATTTAACTGCATCTCAGAGGTGCACTAA